TGAATTCAAACACGAAACACAACTCTCGGCAGAAAAATAATCAGGTGAGTTTGTATTGCTCCAAAAACGAACTCCAACAAAAGAAAAGAGGTCGACTTCATTAAGATCTCTCGACGTCTGATAGTGGTGATGATGACGATGATAAAAGAGAGCATCGCAGAAAACTTTCATGAGTTTTTTTTATACACAAATGTCGAAAACGATTGATATCTTCTATAAGTTTAATATCGGTACTTTCTCGCTCTTTAAATTAATGGTAAGATAGAAAAATAATGGATGCTTTCATCCTGTATGTGAAAGGTCACGTTAGATGTTTTATCAAAGAACGCATATTCGATAGAATACAAAGATTATTTTCTTGTTATTTTATATCTTTGAGAAATGCGGGAATGAGAATAACAACATAATAAACAGATGTTTCCGTTTTGACTTATTCCATAGTCTTCATTCTCTAATATTTTAGGGGAAGGAAACTCCTTTTCACTGAAACATCCAAAAGTAGGTCGAAAAAGAGCAAATGTGTTGTTCTAAAGAAAGAAATGAATAAACCATTCATGCCAAAAGATTAACAAAAAATCTTTATATTAGTGCAGAGCACAAGGTTCCACAGAAATGACAAGAAAAACATTTACAGTGCGTACAATATCTTCTCTTTGGACAAAAACAATTTTATTCTGTTCTGTTTTCTGTATTTACATTGGTGTACTGGCACATAATTATAAAAATAGTTTCTGTGTAAATAGTTTCTGCGTTAAAGGCTAACATATAGACATTTTCTCTTCTTTGTTCAGCTCTCTTCGAGAAAAAGTAGTGAACAAGCAGAAAGGGAGAGCAAGAAAACTTGATCGATCCCATTCTGCACAAGCAGCTTTTCATGTGCCATTCTTACTGTGCCTACAACTGACTGAGTACCGTAGCACCTTCTCTACATCTGTTGAGATTTTTTTATCTTTTCTTGTTACATTGCGAAAAACATAAGCAGCAGAGATGATGCCAATTATGATTTCTTCATTTGTAGGGTGCAGCACCAATGAAAAAAATTATCGAGGGAGTTGCTTACTTAAGCAAAGAATTTCTTTAGAACGGATTTTAGTTCGTTTTGGAGTCTGTGAAGATAACCTTCTATATGAAGAAGAGTTTTTCGAAAGCAAAGGAAAAATTTAGTTTTTGTAGTAATGAGAATCTTAATTTACTTTTGGATTTCCCTTCAAGAAGATTGCAATTAGCGAGTAAAAGAGAAGAAAGCTAAGAGTCGCTAGAAAAGCAGAAAGCTTTAGTCAAAAGTACAAAAAGATTTAACAAGAAGGCAAGAAGTGTTTACTAAACCCTTTTTTAGGGGTTTAGTATAGCGTGCCGTATGTTTGCTCGCTTTTTCAGTCGCAGAGAAGGAAACTTTTCTATACATACTTGGCGAGCTTGTTATAGTAGCTGATGTCGTTGTTGTGCTGGTTGATACTAAATGAACAAATACCTATACCTACGACAATTTCTCTTTGTTTATTACAGAATCCGCACTTACAGGAACCCGTTCAACAAGCCGAAGTGTTTCCTTGTTTTTGTGTGCAGTTTACCCTAAAATAAATACATCCTTGCCGACCATTATTGCATGTAATATTAAGTCTAATACTTTTACAAGTTAAGAATAATGCTGTAAGAGAGATGAAGAAAAGGCACGGTTCGGATTCGGAGATCATTTCATTCCACATACCCAAGTTCGCGTAATTCGTTTCTAATTTAGCCACATTCAATGCGCTTTGTGTCGTTGCATAAAAGACATTCAGATCCGCAGGTCTTCCTTTAACATCAGTGTAACTCGTGATCCATTGACCATTCCTTCCATTCAGATATGCGTATTGGCCACTCCACCGAATACCATTACACTCCCCGGGCGGCATTTAATGTACTTCCGTTGCTGAGGCGAATGTCGTCGTATAAGTTTACCTGCTGATCTCTCGGGCCGTGCGGCAGGTAGAGTGAACGACGGAAAGTGCGGTGGTGTGAAGCCATATTGGAATATTCATGATATCTAGGATACGTAGGATATTTAGGGTATGTAGCATATTTAGGATATTAGGGACATTTAGCGTATTTTGGATATTTAGGGTATTTGGGATACGTAGAACACTTACGACACCTAGAATATCTAGGATATGTAGGTTATGTCGCATATTAAGGATATTCAATAGGATATGGAATATTAAGGAAATGCGGGATACTTAGAATATATAGGATATTTTGGATATTTAGGAAATTTTGAATATTTGCCATATTTAGGATATCTAGGACATGCAGAATATTTAGGATATTTAGCATGTGTAGGATATTTACTACCTTTACCTTATTCACGATACTTAGGATATCTAGGATATTAAAGACATTTAGGATATTTTGAATATTTAGGATACTTAATATCGTAGATATCATAAGTGTCGTACATGCCCTAGATAGGATATCTACGATATTAAGTATCCTAAATATTCAAAATATCCTAAATGTCTTTAATATCCTAGATATCCTAAGTATCGTGAATAAGGTAAAGGTAGTAAATATCCTACACATGCTAAATATCCTAAATATTCTGCATGTCCTAGATATCCTAAATATGGCAAATATTCAAAATTTCCTAAATATCCAAAATATCCTATATATTCTAAGTATCCCGCATTTCCTTAATATTCCATATCCTATTGAATATCCTTAATATGCGACATAACCTACATATCCTAGATATTCTAGGTGTCGTAAGTGTTCTACGTATCCCAAATACCCTAAATATCAAAAATATAAATTTTTAACCTGCGTTCTTCGTATATACAACACATTAATCATCTGCTGCAATACAGAACTATTCTCTAGTGGAAGCGCTTAAAACAGGAAAGCAAGAGCTTGAGATACTATTTTGGCCAGACTTCCTTGGATGTTTCTGGCCGTGGGACAAATAATGCTGCTAGGTTCATAGATTACTAAAAACCACTCCTCAGCGTCTTCATTAATATACTATCTCTGTGATCTCACGAGAGGGCATCTGCCTTGTACGCAGATGACCTCTGCTTCGCATCCTATCTGATGACGCTTTGTTTGATGTTTTTCTTGTGATTGCTTGCTGAAATCTCTTACCCAACAAGAAAATGTTCTTCCCGTAATTTCTTGGTGCAAGGAGTTTCAAGAACTATAGAAAAAACTACTATCTGTCAAGAATAAAAAAACCACATTTCTTGTCCGAACAAAGCAAGATTTTAGGTGTTTCCTTCATCCAAGAAAGTGCACCAAAGTTGGTAACTCGCTTCGAACACGTCAATGAGTGTGATCATAAATGAAAAATGGGATATTTTCTACAAAAATCTCGCTAAGCGTCCTGTTATCGACAGGCTGGGTCATTGATCAATCTATCCGGTTCCTTCTTTGAACCAATATGTCGCATTTAGTGAGTTTCAGTAAAACACAGAAGCCTAGGGTTGAGAAACATCCATTCTGAAGAAAGCACTTTTCTGTGTATGCCTCTGTTTTTTTGTACTTTGGATTCGCGTTACGCCTATATTAAGTTTTTGTCGAAAAACACGGTTTGGGCCTTTAATCTTTGATCTCTCAGTCAGACAAAGTCCATTGGACGTGACATTTTTACTGTGACCACTAGTCAGAGTGGCCATGCTCCACTGAAAATTTGAGCTATATCACTCAATTGGTTCCATAGTTTTCGAAAATTTGGAAAATTTTTCGAAATTTGTCCTTATTACGTATGAGTGTGGTTCGAGGTGGAAGCATCGACAGAGCTGATATTTTGAGCATCTAAAGAGATAGTCAGAACTAAAGATGGTAAAAGTTTGAGCTCATTCCAACACTCTCAGGCGCAGCTATACAGTTTTCATTACCAGTAGTATGTGTTTATTCTTTCTATGAGAGCAATATGAGTTATATGCGATAATGAAAACTATATAACTGCGCCTGAGAGTGTTGGAATAAGCTCAAACTTTTACCATCTTTAGTTCTGACTATCTCTTTAGATGCTCAAAATATCAGCTCTATCGATGCTTCCACGCAAATTTCGAAAAATCTTCAAAATTTACGAAAACTATGGAACCAATTGAGTGATATAGCTCAAATTTTCAGTGAAGCATGGCCACTCTGACTAGTGGTCACAGTAAAAATGTCACGTCCAATGGACTTTGTTTGACTGAGAGATCAAAGATTAAAGGCCCAAACCGTATTTTTCGATCAAAACTTAAAAGAGGCGTAACTCGATCCCAAAGCACCATGGGCACAAACCAACTTAGGGTATTTCACTACTCACGGAGGTCTACAAGATGCAAGTAGTCCGAGTTCAAAGCGATTTATAACCTCAAGAGGGTCGCAGGCCGTCGATCAAGACAGAAGTGTGTGGTTCAGAGCAGAGTAGATTTGCGGTTAGTAATTACGTGAGCAAGGGGAAACATCATGCCAGTGCGATGTGTAACGACAGTAGCTCTTCTTATAGTAAGTGATCATTAAGGAAAATCTGCTTCGGTCAGAAGAAAGTTCGGCCAGTTAAGGAGTGCACGTCGAAGCAAGCACCGAACGCGCGTAGCGAAACAAGCATTGTGTAAATTGCTGTATAATGGTTCTTGTTTTATCAAGCTTTTGGCTGCTGACAGTGGTTTCCCATTGATTTCTCCTAGCCCGCTTCGGTTTTCCTTACTTTCGGTTAGTTTCCTAGCATCTAAGAAGAAGCCGAAAAAATCTACGAGCAGATAAAGGTAAACTATGAGAAACTCTTAGTAAGTTGCCCTCTGTTTGCCACGAAATAATACTAGATCAGTTAATCTAAATTGTTTAGCTTCTCCTTTAAAGAAGAATTTAAAACAGGAAAGCTCTTATTCAAGAAAGAAACTTTTATTGTTGATTCATTCAAACGTGCACCCTCAGTGGATACATCACAAAAAGATTAATAAATGAGAGTAATTACGTAAGAAGAACACAAAAAGAGTTGAACATTCAGATTGAAATGGCAAAAATATCATAGTCAGTTACTGCTTCAACAGACTATCATCATTACAATAATCTGTAAAACAACAATAAACAGTCCATGATTCTTGAACTATTCCCCATGTATGAAAATTTCCACTTTCACAACCGCTATTTGTAGCATTTCTTATTATGCTATTTCTTGTATCTAAAGGCTGACCAGGTATAGCTATATCACCAAATTGAGCATGTCGTTGTATTATCTGCAATTATAAGAATATTGATAGACAGTATTCGTATCTATCACATAAAACGTGTCAAGCCACGACGCTTACGCGCAAAAATAATTAAATACTAACTGCTATAGTATCAGATCAATATATAATAGGAATCTGAACAGGAATTATGTAAGTGGGAGCATACCTTATTCCAATGTACCCTATAAACCAAAAATACGTCTCTCATTACGTCAATCAAAGGTAAAGATCAATTGCTTCTTGACGGTCTTTCTTACCGTCAGGGTAGATTAATCTAATGTTGTGTAAAAGGTGATTGTAAAAGTTACGTTTGTTATAGTAGTGTAGTATCATGAAATGGTGATATTGCTATACTACCAAATTTTCAAGTTACCGCTACAAATCAGCAGTTGTTATTATATGATAATAACAGCTGCCACTAAAGATTATTAATAAACGCTAGCAAAGAGAAATTAGATCCTTTACATGGATGTGAAAGTGGACATTGTGATAGTAGAGCCTCTGTTTCAGACGAAAAGCTGCCTTCAAGCCCTGCGGGATAATTTCTTGCGTCGCTTTTGATTATTTTTGAGCGAAAGCGTAGTGTACGATTAATCCAAATACATACCGAACATGCATTTTTCTTTCCTTTAGTAGTTGTGACAGTAACAATTCCATTGGGATTGAACGGTCTATCGCAATTATTTGTGTCCTTCGAATCAGGACCCTTCCACGTACTCTCGCACGAATAACATTTTATTGGATTTGTGGTCCATTTATTAGCTAAATGAAAAAGAAAATGGACATAGTAGTAGTAAACCTCTTTTCGGCTTGCATGTATTCAGACTTCTACAAGCAGAATATTGCTTATGAAAAATCGACCTGATCGATTTTTTAAAATACTCAGGATACGTGATCAAGTGACGAGGGAAGTACTCTAACTGATAAATTGCGTTTTTCGCCAAATCTAGTATGTTATGGGTTATCGATCATGCTGATTCCGAATATCCTTCGAATCGCTGCTCTGAAAACCCTCTGTGACGGACATTTCTATCAAATTTAAAAGCCTTGCTGTTCTCAACATAAATGGCGTTCATCGTCCGTTAAATTTAAAAGGAAACGAAGTCAAGGACACCGACAGACTTTCAGCCGCTCCTATTTCCTCCATCAGTTGTGTCTACATTTAGTCGGCTGTCACATATTCCTTTACGTAACAATTCTTTGCAGGTACGCCCTTTCAGAACTTTGAATGGACAGTAGCGGTAAAAAATTTCTTTCGAACATAAATTTTATCTTACTGTCGCGTTTGTTGTTATACAAAGTGGATGCTAATAAAGTATTTAATGATAGAAACAAGACAAAAAACGTTAAAATATAATGCATTCTTGCTTTTCGACTGTAGGACGATTATAAATCAAAATATTTTCACTGATTAAAGCTTTTTCTAGTTTTTGATTAAAATAAAAAGACCGTGTAATTTTGAGAATAATTGTCTAATCGTGTATGCAATGCAACGTAAGTATGACTATATATTATATATATAAATACAGATGGATAATTTCTCATAATCACGTTAGTAGCAAACAGTATACATTTTTATTAAAATGTATCTACTAAATCAACCATACTAGGTACGATTAGATTAAACTTGTATTGGAAACAAAAACACCATCAATAGCAAACAGCTATTTATTTATTTATTTATTTATTAAAACCAATTATTCTCAAAATTACACGGTTATTCAGTATCTAGAGTTATTGATCATCCCTTACTGATGAATGTTTGTCCTGCTTGGAAATTTATTCGTTGCCGCAATGAATATTCATTTGCTCATCCATTGCTTTTCGTCCAAATAATCAGTAGAAAGTAAATCCGTAATAACATATTTTATTTTAAAGCAGTTTACCACTAAATTTGTTAATAAAAAACGTAGTGATAAATTTGTGAATCATTTTGCTAAAATTAGAGATTTTTGGACTGCTTCAATTGCAGCTAGAAACCACATATGTGATATCATATCGTAGAATAAAAATAGTCTGTCTTAAAGTCCGAGTTGACTAGTTTATATTCGTTAAAAGTTGAAAGAGGGTTAAATTAAGGCTATTTTAGCTAACCAACTTGTGCGAAAATCAGGAAAATTTCTGATGTATTTTTTGCTTTCGTAGAAAAGGAAAAAAATCTTCATAATGCGATAAAAACGTATATATAAATACGTATATATGTGTAACTGATATTTATAAACAGAAAAAATACAGTTCGGCTTTAAACTCTGTTAGATTGTGTAACTGATAATAAAAAATGAACATTTGTTCTATTCTGTACATAGAAATGTATCCGATTTCTTTCATTCAGCAAAGCAACAGAAAGAAAAAGGAAAGAGAATGATATTGATCTATATCTACGCGTAGACTATGATCTACGTCTATGATTAAACTTATTTTTGATGGCTTCACTAAGATATAATGGAAACTACGGGTACTTTGAACTGTAACGAAACAAATGTAAAGTTGCTGCTCTAATTCAAACTTTGATTTACATGACTACCTACGGCGTAATCATAACGAAGCAAAGAGCATCACAGTGGGCATTTTTAGCTAGAGCAAGCGGACTTTAGCTTTATGAGTGAACTAAAATTTCATGAACCATTTTTTTATAGGTTTTTCATGATCCTCTTTCTAATGCCATGAGAGTTGGGTTTTGAAAAAGTTTTCCACTGAGTTTTTCAGAGATCCGGTCTCTGTAAAACCCTTCAGAAAACTTTCTCAATATTTAAAAACGATGCCAC